GCTCACCGGATCATCAAAAGTCAACTAGGGCCAGCATTTTTGGGCCACATATTTGCTTCTCAAACTCCCAATTTTAGGCCCATACCCCCTCTCCCTTTTATGTTACTTATTTTGCTTTATTAATTTATTTTATTATTTACTAACCAATCAATAATTCCTTTCTTTGTAAAATAAAATCACCAAAATTTTTATTCAAATCAAACTTTAAATTTTTATTTTTATTAACAAACACTAATTAATTAATTTAGGTTATTAATTAGAATAACTTTAACCTATTTTTTGTGAATAATTAAAATTAAATTAGATTTAATTAGGTTTTAATTACTAACTTTAATTATTTTATTTTTTCTTTCTTAAAATAAAAAAAAAACAAAAATAATTTATTTTCATTGATTAATTAATTTATTAATTTAGTAATTAATTTTGATTAGTTTCTTTCTTAAAATAAAAACAACAAAAAGATGTCTTCTTTAAAGGGTCAAAACCCTAATTTTGCGCTCGATTTAATTTTGCATCGCGATTTATTTTCTTTTATCCAATAATGTACTTGCTCCCGGATTGTAATAGTTTAATAGGACTTTTTATCGCTTTATTTATTTTTAAAGGGTTTGTCTTTGGCGATGTAAATACCCGACGCCTTGTAATTTAAATTCCGCATTTCATTTCCGTAAATTATAACTGATAGATGTTTGATAATAGGGATGCATGACAAGACTGAATGTTTTAACCTAAAATCAACTTAGATCACCCTTAACATGTACAAAGATAAAAATAAACTGAAAATGACACACTTGCACATGCGCACTCTTAGGGTACACCCCACTTGGTTGCCTTCGTACACGGTCATTGAGTATAGGTCGCTTTAGAGGTCGTCCTCCTGTCTGAAAGGATCATAGTCGCCTCGAAACGGTTGCCTCGGATATTGTTTCCTCAAACAAATGATCTAAGACATCAGGGGTACCGCTAAAGCATCCTAACATTGCTTTGGTGACCGTATGTCCCTCATTCGAATTGACCCTCAAACTCCAACGACGGTGCTACCTACTCATCAATAGTAGGATAGCATTGTCTAAAGGAAATTAGCACCGAACGATTCCTTTTTCGAGTAGGTAGATGGTTCTTAGATACTTGCTCTTTCAAAAAAACAAAATCTTTTTCACACTTACACTCCTTTTCGAACAAAGTTTTCAAAAACACTTCATACGCTCTTGAGGACAGAAGCAAGAGTTAAATCGAAGTTTTAAAACAAAAACTTTTTTTCAAACCCACAAGCACAAAAAAGCAATATTTTGAAAACAATATGAGCAAGTACCTAAGAGCCCGTGGAAAACCACGGATAGAAAGGGTGCTAACACCTTCCCTTTCTATAATCTACCCCCCGAACCCGAGAAAAATCTCGAAAAAGGAATTTTTCTGTGCTTTTTTCCTTTCCTTGTTGGATAAAATAAAAGTCGGTGGCGACTCTTGCTTACCGCGACATTTTGCGAACAAAAACCCTAATGCAGTCTTGAGTCAAAGAGATCTTGAGAAAGTCTTGATAAATGATAGGGCAAAATTTGGGGTACAACAGTTACTATTGAAACATCTTCATAAGAAATAGTTGGACCGAGAGTCTTTTCAAACAAAATCTCTTTGTCATCCATTAGGCGCTGGACACCTTGAAACAACCGGCTGAAAATCATCAAACAATGAAGCCGCCATCGAACATTTTTTATCCCACAGGAAGGGAAAGGTAAACATCGAGAAAACCTGAGAAGGGAGAAGTCACGGTCTTGCGATAGAGAGATAAGGGTAAGGGAGTCTATTACGCGAGGGGAAGGTATTATCACCCCACACGCCCGTAGTACTCTACAGTATCCACTCTTGTTATCTATCTTATGGGTGTGTTCAATCTATGCTTACTGTTTACTATACTACCGAAGGGAGAATGCATGCAAAAGAAAGGAGAAAAGAATGTAGGGAAAATAAAATTGTGCTCGTTCGGGCCCTACCCTGATGCCTACGTATCCCTTTTAAGGAATCAGAGCAGCCGTAGTTTAACTCATATGTTTTTGTTGGTTTGTATTTTTTTAATGGACAATATTAATTTCTCCTTCTGTCGCAACTCGACCTTTGGAGGCTTACGCGTCAGCACGGAAGTGAATTAACTTGTTCTTTTGAAAAAGAGTTTTTCAAGGAATCCTGTAAAAAGAGTTTGTATTGGTTGGTGTGTTTGCTTGTAGATAACAGCTAGTTGACCTCAAGAGAGAGATTTTAGCCATTTATCTACTTATTCATGAAATGAGTCTTTGAGACTTGAACCACACAAAAGCTTAGAATAAGAGAACAATAAGGTCGAGAATAAACCCGCTTATCATCTCTCAACTTAACAAAGATATGATTCTCGTCAGTAAATTTTTAAGTATTTTGAAGTTTGTAAGAAAGAAGTTTTTTGTTTTAAATGCATATGCAAAAGACATAAAAATCAAGGGGAGACTAGCCTATTTCTAAACCTAATGTTATCATACTTCACACAATCTATAGGAAGTGATAAATGCAGGGTGAAAGTAGAAAGAAAATATACCAAACGAGTACTAGCCCGTAGAGCAAAGCAAAAAGCAAAGAAACCCGATGATCTCGCGAGCTGCTAGCATCAACAAAGAAAAAAGTTAGAAATCTAATGCTCGGAATAAGTGTTGAAGCATCATCGATGTGAAAATAAATCACAATCGAAATTTCAAGCGTATTCGCATATCGCATAATAAACCTGCATAAGATTTAAATATCAACAAGAAAAGGTAAATCATGAATTTCGAATAATCGGATAACCACGAATTAATTCCTAAAAATCAAAATAAGAAAAATCTAACAAATTTTACTGATTTTTTTATTATTTTTTATCAAGTGAAGAAAATTAAAACAAGTCTAAACTATTAATGAAATTATTTAAAAGAAATTGCACATAGCAAAAAAAAAACAAGTCCAAGGGGTTCAGGCTGAATTCAGCGGTGTATTGTAGCAGAATGTTGGGCATGCCATCAGAAGTGGTGCAGAGGCCCAGTCCAGAGATATCCAAAGCAATTTTTTTTGTTATGCCACCAAAAAATTCAATCAGTATTATGCCTTATTCAGATTTATCAACTAATAATGAAATAAAATAATTAAAAAACTAGAAGAGACACATTGAAATGGCAGCGTTACCATTTTTGTTGTTAGGGTTAGGAGAGTGGATTTTCAAAATCACAAGGTCTTCCTCTTTCCTCTCTCATGGGGCGCAGTGTCGCTCTTCATCTTCTCACGCCGGCATGAAACACAGTGGCTCTATCTCCATTCGCCATCGAAAGCTTCATCTCGACCTTCTTCCGATTTGTATCAACCTTCCTCTCGATGCAAAGCTCCGTCTCGTCCTCGTCTCTCTTTCTTTCATCATCTTCTTTGATGAACACTTAAAGCCATACAAATATGCGAAAGATACGGAAGATATTGAAGATCTAACGAGTTTCGATGCCTACCTACCGGAGAGAAGTTCGTCGCCCCTTCAACACCGTTGAGAAACTGGTAAGTCCTCTAATTGGCGATTTTGACGATTTCATCCTTCACTTCTTCTTCTATGATTCTCCTATTATTTCTGCATTTTTTTGTGCATCGATGTTGTGATAATCGCGATGGATAAAGTTACTGTGATGAGGCATCAATGATGAAGACACTTTTATTATTTTTGCAAATCCGAAATTGTCGTTGTTGATTGTTGATGCAGAAGGTGATGTGTGGATCTTGAAGATTGATAAACGATGAAGTTTGTGGATTGATTATAGAAGCAGGTTGGAGAATAGATGAAGATGATGAAGTTGTAGTGAGGTTGCTGATAGGGAAGAAAAGTGAGGTTGAAGGTGAAGAAAGGTTGCAGGTGGATGAAGGTGATGAAGGTGATGAAGGTGAATGAAGGTTCAGAGAGATTTCTGAGATTTCAGAGAGAATACTTTTTTTTGTGAGTTTCTGATAGTTTTTTTTGTGAATGAATCGTATCCCCCTTTTAACTGAGTAAAAAATCTGTTATATCTGTTAGAGGTTAGTTTTTCTGTTAAGAGTTTTGAACTGAAATTTGTTAGTCCTATGTTTGCTAAAAGTCAGTTACAGAGTTAGAAAAAAGTTAGTTAGTTGCTTGAAGAATTCTGTTGAGTTTCTGTTAAGTGATGGGAAATTAGAAATTCTGTTAGGTGATTTCTGTTAGTTGTTATGACAGTTTGTATGAGCTGGCAGTGGTTAGTTTGAACAGTTAAGAATTTCTGTTATATCATCTGAAGTTTGTTACATGTAAGTAATTAGAGCCTTTGGATTCAAAAGTTAGTTACAAACTGACGGTGGGATTTAATCCTGATTTTTGCTTGTAAATGAAACTAACTTTATGATGAGATGCAGTTACTTCTAATTTTCCTGATTTCCTATTTTTGAATTACTGATATTTTTACAACTTACTATTTTCTCTTGAGTTTTATATTTTCTCCTAATTTTATGATGCAAAACTTCCCCTGTACTCTTCTTTTTCGATATTTTTGCACTTCTTCCTGTTTTTAGATTATACTTGGACAGGGCTATAACATGGTTTAATTCATGTATGAACTGGTGTGAACGATTTATGGTGTTAATGTGTAAATTGATTACGTTCATATGTGTATGCAGGGCAGCTTTGGATGTCAGATTATATAGCAGGTTTTTGTAGATTTTGGATGTTAGGGTAATTGAATATTAAAGATGTAAGAAAGTTAGTAGTTGAACGAAAAAGTAGTAGGAATTCAAAATTGACAGCAAAGTTGGAGTTTTGTCTTGATGAACCTGCTTCTGATTCTCTTTATATTCTGGTTTTTCTTTTTTGTCGTGATTGTTGTGCAGAATTAGCTTGAAACAAACTGATAATTGGTTGGTGTTTGATGCAGCAGGGTAGTTCTGTTATGTCATTCGATTACAAATTTTGAATTCTTTTACAATTTTTTTTAGTCACAGAACTGCTGCTCACGATGAAACTAAAATATGTACAAACAAGCTATTGAAGTTAAAATCGTGGTCAACAGTATAGACACAAAGTTCACTGCATTGTTGTCAAGAATGCTAAGACCTGAAATCTTTTTAACAGTTGGTCCTGGCTTCCCAACAACCTTCTGGTGAATTGAGCAGAATCCACTAAACTGTAACGTTGCACCAAATAGAGAGTCTATGATACTCCCACCTAGTCCTGTCGTGGTAGCGATGGGTATGACCAGTAGTTGCTTGAGAACTCTATCAGACCCACACCTAATTGTCAAAAATTCTAAAAGAAAATATGATAGTCCAATAACACTTCCACCACGTGCAGCTGCTGGAAGTCCTGTTTTGTCACACCACCATTTGTACCCTTCCTCACATGCTTAAAGATTATGATAAGACGAGGACGGTCATCACTGAGAACTCCAATCTCTGAAGACCAGGTGTCTCCATTATAGCAGCAGTAATGGCCAATAACGACACCAATAATAGCAGTAATCAGAGGCGAGTCTTTAGAATTCAAGCAATAATCATTCCCTTCTGTTAAAACCCATAAAGCTACAACCAGAACAGAGGCAATACCATTATTAGATAGAACTTGTATCCAGTTTCTTTGTCCACCTATTTTGAATTCAGGATCAATTAACTGTTTCTTATCTTGTCCCTTCTGAATCCTATAAAAATGTGAAGCGACATAACGAAGAAATCGGCGAAAGCACCAGAAGTGTTGAGGGAATTTTTCTGTGAGCTCTGAATGCGATGAAGGAACCGACAGAGACAGTAACCAAGGGTTGGATCCATTGAGAGTGAGACGAGTCCATTTGAATTTCTAAAATTGGGTGTGAGTGATGCAAATGAATATGTTGAGTTTGAGTTATAGGAGCAAGAAGAAGAACAACTACCACAGTTAGGGGAGGTTTGTGTTGGTGCAAGGTTTTTTTGTTATGAAGTTCTGTTAGAAGTTGGTTATGTAATTGGTTAGGTGTAGTTGGATTATTTTTGCCATAGATCAAAACAGGTGTGAACCAATTTAACCACTTTGGTTTGGAAACCATTTTGTCTGCAAATGAATTATTGTTATGCAAAACTGCTTGGTTAATTGACAGGGTGTAGCTTACAATTAGAAGAAGGCTTAAAATTGAAGTTCAAGGAAAATTTAAGAAGATGGCAATGAGAGATTGAATATGGCTTGAAGAAATACCTAGGCAAAACAGTTTGTAGTTTGGGCTAAGCGAAAGAGGATTTTGAAGATGGTTACTTGGCACGAACATGGAAACATGAAGATGTTAGGCTGTTTAGATTTTTAGATTTAAAACCAAAAATTTGTGGTACATTCTTTTGTATGATATTTAGACAAGCTAATCATGTTTTTTTGTAAATTTGATGTATGGTTTTGTATGATGTTTAAACATTGTAAAACTTGAATAATGAATATTAAACTTGGAATTTGAACTTGGAATTTTGAATCTTGAACCAATTGAAACTTGTGATTTTGCATTATGGTCACTTGAACGGTGAATGAAATTTGGATTTGCGATCTTGAAATTTGAAATAGCCTTGAATAATTCTTGAATCCCCTTGTACATGCATGAACTTGATATTTGCTCTAAATTCCAAATAACTTATTTCTCAAGAAATCCCACATGAATCCTTTTCTAACCTTACATGCTTGGTAAATGAACTTTAATCCAATTCTTGAACAAAACTTGAATTCACGTGATATTTCTCTTGTAATAATCTAAAGCAAACTCCGTGATCAGAATTCCACCTTTTTGAATGAACACTAAAGAAAATGACTTATATCATAAGCCATGAAGCGAACCCAATCTTCAATTGATGACCATAAAATGGTCCCTAACATCACCCTTTGTCCTTTGTGAGAGAATGGATCCAACACGTTGATCCCCATCAATCTCATATAAAAAATAATAAGAGAACCAAAATGCCTTGATCTTAATGAATTTACAATGCCATCCTTATATCACACCTTATCATCCCATGAACCTCCATTGAAGATGTTGATAAACCCAAGTACGATAGGATATAAATCCTAATCTTCCATACAAAGCTTTTAGATTTTGATCTCAAAGCATTAAAATGAAATCCGAAGAAAATAGATTATATCGCAAGTAAGCCAATCAACTAGATGAAGAGCTTTGCATCATAAGGCATACAAACCTAATTCGTGAAGAAGGTCCAACTGAATCTTCTTTTCTAGAATAGAGTTGTTGCCCACATGACTAGAGATTCAAGCAATGATTTCCTTCTTATTTTCCAAATACATATCAATTGAAATCCTGGTTATTCATGGATGATATCCCTTGATTATAGCCTTGCCTGATAATCACAACTTCCCAGAGAAACCTCTCTTGAATGGTACGTGATTTAGAGAAATAAACCCTAATCAAAAGATGACATTGAGCACAAGGAGATAATGAATGCCTAATTTAGTAGCCCTTAGATGACCTCGTAGAACAACTTGGGAATGAAAATGGGAATATAGAAAGAAATATGGCCAAGATGGCTATGAATTAGAAAACCTAATGAACCTCGGTTGATGAAATGCTGACAAGCACAAACTTGGTGGAGAAACACTCTGACTCTTGTCTTGAATGTATATGAATGAGTAATAACCCCATTAACTTGAAGAAAAAGGAACCCTCAATGAGCATAGGTTGCAACCCTAATTCCATATTTCACTGCTTGAAGGATAATCAGAAGAATCATGCTTTATTATATATGAACACCTTAACCGTTGCGAAACCCTAATATCGCACAGCCACTGAACTTTGAACCTCAAGCATTTTATTGAATGCAAATGTATGTTAATGACCTAATGGAGTATATACATATGAATGCAAGAGTCTAATCCAGATAGAAGAAATTAGGAGGGCAAATTTTGGGGTGCAACATCTGCCCCTATTTAATAGCCTTCAACATGAAGGTGAGATTGGTGCAGCCTTTCGAACATTCAAGGTAGAAGAAGATTAAATACTTAAAAGAACCCAAAAATTTGCGCTCCGAAGCCAGTCAGGTATTATTATATTTTTTCATTTTCTGTATTTTCTATTTATATTTTTTTTGCTTTCTAGGTAAAAGGGGTTATTAGGGTTAGATGTATGTTTAACCAGGGTTAGAAATACAGAAGAATAACTTAGTTATCGAGGAACACTTGTTAGGATTTAGTAACAAACACCTGTAAGAAGGATATCAAAAGGTATATTCCTTAAGTCTGTAGCAGACATACGAAAAAAGGTATCAGAGATACATATCCGGGGTCGGTAGCGGATACAAAAGAGACAAACCTAAGAAAGCTTCTTACAAGGATGTCACGGACACATGTATGGGGTTGGCAGCAGACATACGAAGAAGGTATCAAAAATACATATCCGCAGTTGGTATCAGATGCGAATGAAAGAGACAGAAAAGATACATATCCGGGGTTGGTATTGGATACGCAAGAAAGAGACAGACCGAAGAAAGCTCTTACAAAGATATCAAGAACACATGCCTGGGATTGGTAGCGGATACGCACGAAAGAGATAGAAAAGATACATATTCGGGGTTGGTATCGGATACGCAAGAAAGAGACAGACCGAAGAAAGCTCTTACAAAGATATCAAGAACACGTGACTGGGATTGGTAGCAGACATATGAAACAGGTATCAAAAATACATATCCGGGGTTGGTAGCGGATACGCACGAAAGAGACAGAAAATTACATATCCGGGGTTGGTAGCAGATACGCACGAAAGAGACAGAAAAGGTACATATCCAGGGTTGGCAGCGGATACGCATGAAAGAGACAGAAAAGATACATATCTGGGGTTGGTATCGGATACGCAAGAAAGAGACAGACTGAAGAAAGCTATTACAAAGATATCAAGAACACATGTCTGGGGTTGGTAGCAGACATATGAAATAGGTATCAAAAAAACATATCCGGGGTTGGTATCGGATACGCAAGAAAGAGACAGGCGGAAGAAAGCTCTTACGAAGATATCAAGAACACATGCCTGGGATTGGTAGCAGAAATATGAAATAAGTATCAAAAATACATATCCGTGGTCGGTATCGGATACGTATGAAAGAGACAGACCGAAGAAAGCTCTTACAAAGATATCAAGAACACATGTCTGGGATTGGTAGCAGACATATGAAACAATTATCAAAAATACATATCTGTGGTCAGTATCGGATACGTAAGAAAGAGACAGACCGAAGAAAGCTCTTACAAAGATATCAAGAACACATGTCTGGGATTGGTAGCAGACATATGAAACAAGTATTGAAAATACATATCCGTGGTCGGTATCAGATACGCAAGAAAGAGGCAGACCGAAGAAAGCTCTTACAAAGATATCCAGAACACGTGTCTGGGATTGGTAGCCGACATATGAAACAAGTATCGAAAATACATATCTGTGGTCGGTATCGGATACACAAGAAAGAGGAAGACCGAAGAAAGCTCTTACAATGATATCAAGAACACATGTCTGGGATTGGTAGCAGACATATGAAACAGGTATCAAAAATACATATCCGTGGTCGGTATCGGATATGCAATAAGGGATGAGACTGGAGAAAAGGACTCTAACCAAGGATATCAGGAATATACGTCCAGAGGAAAGGGCGTATAACCAAGGATATCAAGAAACATATGTCCGGAGGAAAGGACATATAACCAAAAATATTGGGAAAACATGTCTAGAGGAAAGGACATATATAACCAAAGGTTTGCAAGGGTAAGAGAGAATCACGACTTACTAAGACAATGGGAAACACCAAAGACTCGACCGGTGGTAGATCAAACAGCCTTAGCTGGGGAAACAAAATAGAATCACCCTGGGCTTCTTATGGAGATAACTCAAATCTGAATGCATAACAATCTGGTTACTACAAGTAAATACAATTGGCTTATACTCATGCATGTTTGAAAAATAAATTTATAGCGTAATGCTCCATACAATGGGAATGCTACACGTTTTGGCAAATGCAATGTAATGATGCATGTTTAGCAACACATTAGGAAAACACATCAATAATCGGCTGCTGAGAAGGCAATGAACTTCCGAACAATTATTCTTGCACATCTGATCCTCTGTAGAGAAAAGGAAATTTGTACTTCAATGGGGAACCGAGATTTGGAACCACCAACCTCTAAAGATCGATATCACTGGGGAAGTAACTTCCTGAGAAGAATGCTGCAAACATAAATTGCAGTTCAGAGAAAATCTTGAATTCTGATCAAACTCCCCACTTCACGGGGAACAAATTCTTTATCCTCTGTTGGAAAGAGAAAAGCTTTGTTGGGAATGGAAACTTCTGGCATAGAAATTCTGGTTAAAGATAACTTCTATGGGGAGTATATAAATTCTTAAATAAAAATAATTCTACTCAGACCACACTGGGGATAACATTGCTGGGAGATAAAGGATCATCACTTGGGGAAGAAACGAACATCCTGGGATAGAAACTCCACTGGGGACATCTCAATAAAATTTTCTATCACTGGTAACGAAAGAGTTATGACTGGAATTCTCTTGTACACCTTACTAGAGAGATAGGACACTTGCTCCACTAGGGACAGAAGAATAGTTCCACTGGGGAAATTGGATCTCATTATACGAAAATCCTCACGCTACCCTTCTTGATTAATTTTTTAGTAAGCACCTTGTCATAAAAGACCAATAGTACTTGTAAAACAGAAATTGGGGCGACGTGCCCCTGTTTGGAATTGAAAACCTTACTGAAGAATAGACAACTTGAACTACCAATCACTGGGTAAAAAATCGCTATGCAAGGTTGCAAACTCAACATG